GTAAAATAAAAATATAATGTATTTAACAAATACATAATATCAATGAAATACAAAAATTTCATGTCTTATAAAATTTTTTTATTAATCTATGAAAATTTTGTATAATCTAATAATGTATTCAACTTTAGTTAGATTGGTATTTCATTGACATTATTTTATCTATTTTACTTACATTATAAAATAGTCTCTTGAGTTAAACAAAAATTTTGAAAAACTTTCAGAACTTCAAATTGATCATAATTTGACTAATGCACTATTGAATAAAACCATAAAGATAAGCAGTTATTAAATGAAAATAATATCAGGGCTCTAATTTGGGGTTGTTCTTAATATTAAATAAAATAATATAACGGATAAAGACAACAAAGCAGTAAAAATTTGTGTTTCTCAACTTAGGGATCTCAATTTTTATTTAAGTTTAATAATAAACATAATGCAACAAGCAATAATAAAATTTATCATTTTTACTGTCATGTGATAATTACTTTAATGCTAAAAAACATTTTATGAATCTATAATCTATTTTTAAATTCAACACATTAGAAGTTTAGATTAAATCTATTTCAGTATATTTTTTTATTATTTTGCATATATCAAACTTTAACGCATTTATTGATTTAAGTGTCATTGTATTTTATGGCCAAAGAAAATAGTTTAAAAACAAGTATGTTCGTAATTTGAGCTCTTTTTCGCTAACTTCGCTTTTTCGCTTGTTTATTTAAAAATAAAAAAATAATTTTATATACAGAGTGATTATCTATGCTTTTCGAAATATCTTCAAAAATATTAAATATAATCGTAATTTTATTTTTTTTAATAATAATGGTATTTTGTTCAGATATTTTAGATAAAAAATTATATTTCTGCTATCATCCCATATAATAGTAGTGGGCATTACCCCATTGCTACTTTTTTCTATTTATCATTTTATAACCAAGGTTATAATATAACACTAAGTGAATATTTAATTCCCACGGACATTTAAATTGATTTATATTTAATGACTAATAGTTTATAAATTAGTTAAAGTAGGTAAATATATGAGTATTTGTAGCTTAAATAGATGAGTAAAATAATTTAAGCCAATGTCTATTAAATATTAATTAGCATATACTGTATGATTCTTTTCAAAGTTAACCAAATTTCTCTTAAAATAATCATTTTTTTTTTGTGAATTTAGGCTTTTGTTAGTTACATATACGTTGCTTATAGTGTAACAGTACGTATCTAATATTGGAAAAAATGAGATTATTTTAAATTATGAAAAATAAAGTTTTTCTGAACGATTTTTTTTAAAACTTTTTAATGAGTCTTATAGTTCTATTGACATTTATGGCACATAAAATTTCCTCTTAAATTAACACATGTATAATTCAAATTTATTTTTTGATCATCCTGTAAACCAAGAAAAACTATAATCGTTATCTACGTAAGCATTTCGAAACGGTCAGTGATTAAAAATCCCATGAATTATCCGATCAATATTTTATAATGAAATATTAAAAGTCAAATGTTTTTCGATTTTTTAATAAATCAGCTACATAAGTTTTTTTTATATTTATTTAATATAAAAGTTAATATACAAGTTTAATGTAGAAGTGTGTAAAAAATTCATTTTTCAATAATTTGTTTTAAAAATAAAGCAAAGAAAAACAAAATTATAAAAAGGTTAAAAATCAATACTTTATAATTTCGATCTTTTAAATATGTCATAGTAAAATACAGCAAGAGTATTAATAATTATGGGATTTGTTGGACTACCTCATGAAAAAAATCATTAAAGTTTCATATCATATTTATTAATATTTATAGTAAATAGCTGAGGAAGTATTAAAAAACGTTGTTACTAGTATAATTAAGTTTTACCACAGTAGTAAGCAATTTTTAAATTCTTAAGCAATATAATAATGTCATATAAAAGGAAAACGTATGATTAGCAAATTAATAATGGTGGGAAAAATAATATATAAAGGTAAACATAAAAAGTATAGAGGGATTGACGTTTTGACGAAGAAACGTGGAGTTACGGGCTTGGCGTTTGGTGTAAGTAACTTTGTATTTTGTACGACTTAATCTATTTTGTGTTTCATTTTTATATTACATTTTGATTTTGTGTTTATTATGTTTCGTAAATAAAATAACTATTTAAAAACCTGCACTTGAGCGTAAGTACTTTATATCGTTAAAATTGTGTGTGTGTGTGTGTGTGTGCGGCAACAGTCGAGGTTGAACTGATAGTCCTTTAATCNGCAACAGTCGAGGTTGAACTGCTAGTCCTTTAATCGATCTTAATAATTAGTGTGCGTGCTGGCTAGTTTTTGGGCTTAACCGTCCTTTAGTAGGTATAGTGAAAAGATAGTTTTGCTGGTGGCTTACGAGAAGCCACCTTTCAGTCTGCTACTATTGAGCTAGACCGTATTGACGGGTCTAAGCTCTACCCCTTTAGTAGTTCACTATTTAGAGAAATTGGGGCNACCCCTTTAGTAGTTCACTATTTAGAGAAATTGACCAATGTATCCAATAGCAGGACTCGAGAAGAGCTTAAAACGACGAACTGGTCGTCAAAAAAATATTATTTAATTTGTGTACTAATTTTTATATCTACGTCGGGGTACTACCGACGTACAACATATTGTTATTTAGAGTCGGCTTTATGTTACTGACCAGAGCCAACCATATTATGGCAATGCTAAAGCGGTGACTGAATGATTCAGTTCGTCACACAACGTCTCCTATTTACAGGTGTTCATAATATAACAATGTTTTTTATTCTTATACTTTTAAATTAGTAAACAACTTATGTGTTAGAAAAATAAAGAAGTCTCACAAGATTAATTTATTTGAAATCTGTATTTTTTTCATTAAATAAATAATGTACGTTCATTTTGACTATCATTGGTTTGTTATAATTTAATTACTAATTAAAATTATAATTTATCATAAACTATTGATAGCTAATATTTATACTTCAGAATGGCTATCTCTCCANATAGCTAATATTTATACTTCAGAATGGCTATCTTTCCCACCAACCTAAGCATTCTTATGCAGCTGGTTTGGTCATTTCTACACTTCGTTAAACACTATGCCTCCTACGATGGACATCTGTCTCACCTTATTATTATGTATTCACACCTATTGCGAATAATCAAAATAAATTAATCAAAGGCTAATGGTGTGGAGATCAGCTCTTGAAGGAAAGGGGTTTAAGAATAAGTAAGAGTAAGACAGAGTACGAGTTTGATAAATGAGAACACGAGGTAGGTGAAATGAGGAGTTGAGTGACAATAGGCGAGGACGTGATAGGAGAGGTGGAAAGTTTTAAGTATTTAGGATCAATTGTGCAAAAGAGCGATTGTATTGACGAGGATCTAAGACACAGGATTAAATGCGGCTAGTTAAAGTGGAAAGAAGCATCTGGTGTGTTATACAATACAAAATTCCAATGAGACTGAAAGGTAAATTCTATAAGACTAGTGAGACCAGCTATGATGTATGGTTCAGAGTGTTAGGTGGTTGACAAAAAAATAGAGCAGAGAATGAATGTAGCAGATATAAAAATGCTTTGATGGATGAGTGGAGTGAATAAAGAAGATAGGATAAGGAGGGAGTATAGGTGTAGCGTCAATTGTAGGTAAGAGAGGAAAATAGACTTAGTTGGTTTTATCATGTTATGAAGAGAAAGGAATCGAAAGCTGTAAGAACAGTTATAGAAATGAAGCTTCAAAAAAAAATAAAGCGGTCACGTTGGATGATTTATATATGAATTTTCTTTTCAACAATACTATTATTTTATCTATACAAAATGTTTATTAATTTTTAAATCTATAATTATTTGTAATGAATTAAACTCATCATTTTTTTTTTTATAAAATATCAACTAAAATAGTATTGTATGATAGCATTTTTCTGTAAAATAATCAAAATAGAAAAAAACTTAGTATAATTGGAACTCAGCATAGAACGGACTATTATAGATTAAAATTTGTAAGTGATTAAAATCGAAATTCGATATATTTCAAATTAACGAAGTCGAAAAACCTCGACACGATTAAGCATAAATTAAGTACCATTATTTTGACCTTCATTGCTGGTTACAATTTCAGTAGGAATTTAAATTCTAATTTATCATAGATAATAAATTTGTAGTGATAGGCTATATAAAGAAGTAATTCTCATGCAAATTTCAGAAATTATATCCATTCGCAGAAGTCAGGAAAAATCGTAGAAGCTTAACCTCGCCATCTTACCCCGCTTTACCCTACAATTTATATTTTATATGAGAGGGAAGGAAACTTCTACTATATTAAACAATTTATTTGGTGATTGTTAATATAAAAGTTGTCCACATGATTAGTCTACTATAAAAAATTGGCTTTCTAAGTTATAAATACTTCATTTTCAATCAAGAAAATAATTTAACAAGCATTTAATATTTGAGTTAAATTTAAACACTTAGAAATTATGAAATTAAAAATTAAAAATTATTGTAGAATTTTACAGATTCTTATTCAATCGTTTAAGTGTTTTATAGTGATTCACTGCGCCGATGGTTGTTTACTATAAGAAATCGTCCATCATAGTAAAAATAATAGCTATTTTGTAATAAGAAAAAATAAAGTAATAAATTAAATTTGTTGAAATCATCAATTCATTTTTATCGAAAGTTTAAAAGAAAGACTAACTAATTTATCAACATTTTTTATGTAAAACTTAAAATTTTCAAATATTCTTATTCATAAAGTCTCATATTAAAATTTAATTGACGCAGTAATTTTTGGATGAAGTTACAGCTTTTTAAATAAACTGGACATGTATTTTAAGCATGATAAATTTCAAAAAAAATATCGCATAAAATTATATTCATTATTTTTTATAACTATATTTACTACAAAAATATTGAATTAATTATTTCAGTTATAATAATATCGTCATCAGTACCTAAATAAAACAACTAAATTGTATAAAATTAGCTTAATTTCCTATAAAATGATTTTCATTTTGGTTTTTATTCATACTTTCAATTATTTCAATTTGTACGAATCCAAACATATTTTTTCAAAAAAATTTATAACATTCATCAAAATAATTTTTTTTGCTTCAAATATGTTTAAAAAAAATGTAGTAGTATTACTATTTGTTATTTTTTTATCAACTGAACTGACAGGTATATATTTGTTTATTATTGTTTCTTTATTGGTTTTATTATAAATATTATATATTCATCGCTAAACTAAATGTGTTTACTAATAACTTTGTAAATTTTTACTTCATAACATTTGATTAACTTTTTTACATAGTAATCTAATGTTTTCAGGAGTATTAAGCAAAATAGACAAAGCAACAAAATTTGGAAAAAGTAATTATTTTTAATAAAGAACTATTATATCATAGTTCAATGAAGTATAAGATTTTTTATATAGAACAAAAGTTCACTATTATATATTTCATTGTGAATTAATGAAAAACGTATGAAATATTTTTTTTTTTATAATAATAAGTCAAATTTAAAAAAAAACCAGCAGAATTGGATCGCGTCACAGTGGGAACGTGACATAGTTGGGACTAGTATAGATGATATCTGACAGTGATTAAAATTACTATCATAAAAAACGCTTCGATGCAAGTCTGTAGATAGTGTTTAATTTTAAAAAATTAATGGATTATACCAAAAGCCACATGACCACCTATTACATTATTTATATTCTGATTACAAGTTTTATGATATATATATATATATATATATATATATATATATGTATAATATATAAATATATAAAGGGAAATGGTCCGATTTAAAAAAAATGTATGCCGCATAAAAGAAGAATATAAATAGTAATTATCTTCAAAAAATTATAATGATCCATACATTTTTCAAAAAGTTATTATTGGATACGCATCACGAGAGGGTGTTTCCTACATTTTTTGTTAAGTCTGATAACGCAACTCGCACTACCACCACCTGTTATACGAGAATTCATTTACTACGTTGGATGCTAGTGTATGTGATTCTTGTGTCTCGCCAAGTTATTATCGGTTTGGATGTTTTTAAGTTTTTCGCCGACATCCATAACTTGTTTGTTAGATGGTTCTACGATGCTTGCGAGACCGTAGTTGTTTAAAAAACGTATTTTGTCGCCCTTGTGATACGCTCATCCATAATTAAATTCGTACATCTTGAACTATTATTCACGCCAGTACATTTTGCCAGTTCAACTGTTAAGTCAACGACTTCACCCGTCTGCTCTTCATATATACACCAAGGTGGTCCTTAGCTCATAGGTGTAGAATTTTTTTTTTCGAAATTTGATCGGGCCACCCCCCAAATTTGTTCAAAACTATAAAAAAATGGTTCATACTTAATTTCGTTAATTTTGGTCAACCCTAAGCCGTGCCTCAAGAGGGCCGAAAACTTAGTAATAAGGGTAGTTTTTCAGTTATTGTGGTTTATCTCAATAACTATGACATTTACGTAAACGTTTATAAGAAAAAAATTGTAGATATGAATATTTTGAATAATAAAGTTAAATACTAAAAAAGTCGAAAGTCAAGTATTTACCTCGTAAAAGTTAAAAGTTCAAACAAATTTTAAAAAAGGTGAGCAGGTCAGATTTATAAAAAAAGATACAAAATGATAGATAAATACCTCACGTATATATAAAAAAATTATATTGATTTGGTCATTTTTAAAAAAAAGTCATGACAGTTTTAAGTAAAAAAACCCAGCACAGGGGGGTCGCGGCACAGTGGTGACGTGGCATAAAATCACTATTAAAAAAAAACGCTTCGATGCAAATCTTTAGATAGTATTTAATTTTAAAAAATTGGTGGATTATTCCAAAAGCTACATGATCTGCTAGTTCCTTATTAATATTCTGATTAAGATAAAGTATGTCGAATGAAAAAGGGATTATTAAAAATTATTATTTCTCATAAAAAAATTATGTTGATCCATACACTTTTCAATAAGTTATAGCACTATAATGTTAAAAATGTAAAAAATAAAATCGAAAATTTTCACACAATAATAGCGTTTGGTAGCCATTTTCACCGTGAAGACAAAATAAAGTCGGACATTTTTTTTTTGCATAATAAAGTACAGGACATTAGCTTTAATTTTAGATATATATAAAGATTCAGACTTTCCGGAACACTTTCAAAATTTAAGTTGAAAAAGTAAATTATTTGTGAAAAAGTTGTCATTTTAAACCCCCCCTGTGGACTGGTAAAAAATCAGATTTATAAAAAAATTATACCGAATGAAAGGTAAAGACATCATGCATCTATAAAAAAAAATTATATTGAATTGGTTATTTTTAAAAATGTTATGGCACTTTTAAGTAAAAAAAATTGAATAAACCAATACCTTCTCAGCTTCGATGCGAAGCTAAAATATATCAAATGATAGGTAAAGACATTATGCATCTATAAAAAAAATATATTGATTTGTTAATTTTTGAAAAAGTTATGGCAGTTTTAAGTAAAAAAAATTGAAAAAATTACGAAAATTAGTGATTTTTAAATTTGTAACTTTTTTGGAGGTTCTCCCATTTACGGGGAACGAGGGAAATTTTTTCAATTTTTGAGGGTAATATCTTCGACTAGATACAATTTGTGATCTTCTGATGTATCGTTGAGAAAATTTGGTCTAGTGAGAACTGAAAAAAGTAGTCACATACATAAAAAAAAAAAAATAATAAATAAACACATCATGTAAAATTAATACCTTCTCAGCTTCACATCTAAAAGTTTTAAAAATGTAAAAATTTATCGACTTTAAAAATCGTAATTTTTTGGAGGATTATCACCATTTACGGAGAATGAGAGAAAATTTTCAATTATTGAGGATAATGTCTTTAACTAGTTATGATTTGTGTACTTGTGTCGTATTGTTGAGAAAAATCGGTCCAGCATATGTTGAAAAAATAGTGAAAGACTAAAATAAAAAATAAACACATCCTAATAAAATTAATACGTTCTCATTTTCGCATTGAATCTAAAACGTGACTAAGTAAAAAGTAATCTTATAATTTGAAAAACCATAAGTATCTTGTATATAACTAGATAAAATTTAATAAATGTGTGACTAAGTTTTTTTTTCATCAAACTACTTTGGTTATGATACTAATATGATAATTTTCAGAAATCATAAATGGAGCAAAAAGCTTATTAGGTGTTAGTAATTCAGGTTGCTGTCCATCAGGCGAGGAAATAATAAGTAAATACATTTTATTAATAGTTATTAAAAACTTACTCTTTAGCATTAGTTCATTATTTAATTTTTGTTTTCCACAATATATTTATGAGATACAAAATTTAGTTTTGATCATATTTTTTTCAATACTTTAATATGATAAACTCCTAGTGTTTGAAATTTGCTATTTTCGATTTATCGAATACATTGCAACCGTTACATTTTAAAAAATAGTTGACTACAATAATCACTACTTTTTTAAATATGAAGAGACGATATAACATATGATACTTTTAATGTACTGTAACATGTTTTGTATAAAATTTATAGTAAAAAATGTTTACTAAAAAAAACATACATAATTACTTAACTAAATATTAGAACAAGGTAATGGAACCATTAAAGGATGAGCTCGAAAAGTTAAAATCTAGATCAATTTTTCGGTATATTATGGTTGAAACAATAAAAAATTCAATATGTCACACAACTAAATAATCGATTCAATCAGTAAAATTAAACTTTTCAACTTTCCTAAACATTTTTTGCTTTTGCAAATTATATAATAATAAACAAAACCTTTAGCACAGTGGGGTAGCGGCACAGTTGGANTCAATACTTTAATATGATAAACTCCTAGTGTTTGAAATTTGCTATTTTCGATTTATCGAATACATTGCAACCGTTACATTTTAAAAAATAGTTGACTACAATAATCACTACTTTTTTAAATATGAAGAGACGATATAACATATGATACTTTTAATGTACTGTAACATGTTTTGTATAAAATTTATAGTAAAAAATGTTTACTAAAAAAAACATACATAATTACTTAACTAAATATTAGAACAAGGTAATGGAACCATTAAAGGATGAGCTCGAAAAGTTAAAATCTAGATCAATTTTTCGGTATATTATGGTTGAAACAATAAAAAATTCAATATGTCACACAACTAAATAATCGATTCAATCAGTAAAATTAAACTTTTCAACTTTCCTAAACATTTTTTGCTTTTGCAAATTATATAATAATAAACAAAACCTTTAGCACAGTGGGGTAGCGGCACAGTTGGATCGTGGCATAGTTGGGTCCAGTATAGATGATATCTGACAGTGATTAAAATCACTATCATAAAAAGCGCTTCGATGCAAATCTGTAGATAGTGTTTAATTTAAAAAAAAAATTTGTTAAAATAGAATATTTTTGGATACGGTAGCCATTTGCGCATAGAAGATAGGTTGTCGGGACAAATTTTTTTATTTTATTTTATAGAACATAAAATAAGCTTTAATTTGATATATATTTGAAGGACACAGTATTTCCGGAACTTTTTCAAAAATTAAGTTGAAAAAGTTATTTTTTGTAAAAAAGTTACTATTTTAAATCCCCTCAGTGAGCAGAATAAGTGTTAGATTTTCAAAAAAAATTATATCAAATGAAAGGGAAATATCTAAGGTTTCAATACAAAAAAATATTATTTTTATTTGTT